TTTTAGTTTTCGTATGTAATCAATAGTTTCTCCATCTAAATCCCAGTGAAGCACAACTTAAGTACAACTTAAAATAGCTAGAAATTATTCTTGATGGATGTTGGGTTTACAGTATATCTAAGCCTTTTAGTGAAGCCCCCAAGATGAAAATATTCTTTTGGAAACCTTAGAAAACTGGTTCTTTTTGTAAAATGAGGTGCAGTTACTGTTACTAAATTCTGGCTTACGAACTGATTCAGACCATCCTAAACTTGAACTTGTTCATCACAGCTGCAAGAAGAAACTACTGAAAAAAAAAATAATATATGTATATATATACGTGCTTCTCTATTTCTTTTATATTTGTACATGAAGTAGAAGTTTTTTAACTTGTGAGGTTAAAATGGTCCATATTTTACTAGGGAGGAAGCAAGAACAGCTTGTATGATACTATCCAATCCAGACTGGAGATCTACAGAGGTCAAAGAGATAAAAGAAAGATGTCAAATGTGGAAAAGTGAAATGAAATGTAGTGTCTCATAAATGCACACAAGCATATTCTACATCTCCCTACGTACCCACAGATGCGTAAGAAAAAAGAGAAACTGCTTCTTCATTAGCATTCTTCATTTTTCTCTAACTGTAGACTTCAAATAGTTAATACCTATATACAGTGAAGAGGTTGAGAATGATCAATTTAGTGTTACATGAAGAACATTCACAAAATGCACACTGACCTCTCACTGGCCCTATTCATTTCACTTTTCTTTGTCATCATAACCTCAGTAACATCATAGAAAATCACACTCATATCCTCATTCTATGCTCCAAGCAATTTAGCTTGTATGAATTGCACTGTGTTCACTTTTAAAAGCAAAGTATCCGATATTTAAGTTCATTTTTTATTATTATGCATTTTATTTTACTTCTTTCAATGATCTTTTATTGTCTAAAGTCTAGATTTCTGCCAAGTTTCTGAACTGTGCTTGTCAGAGTATTGCCCACAACTCTGGGATCCTTTGTTGAAGCTGTAGAAATAAAATGAATAGTATAAAAGCTTGATGGCATCTGTGGATAGGAAACTCATTAAAGCCTCAGGCTTCTGTTTTATTCCTAACCACATTGCCCTGTGGGATTTCAAGGTCTTGCAGGATGAAACCAGCAGGACTCATTACTTCTAAAACAATGTTTAGAGTTCTATTGGTGGTGGAATGCTTCTGCCAGTCAGGTAAAAAACCTAGGCCTTTATCCTTCCTGAGACAATACCAGGCAGCTCAGAAACTGCTTGGAAAAGTCATGCCTTTGAATGCAACTGCAGGTGTTGCTCCTCAAAGACTGTTGGTACCCTCCTATGCACCCTTCAAAGGAATAATAGCAAATTCACTTTGGGATTCAAATGAAGTCTAAGAAAAATTCAAATAATAGGAACAAACTTTTGAGACTTCCTACATTTTTCCCACGAACTTACGGACCATGACTAATACCCTGGGGGCAAAAAAACATCCTTTTTCCCTCTTACATAGGAGTAGAATTCATGTTAGATAAATAAGTTTCATGACCTCACCTTGTTTAAGGCGACCGATCAATTACTAGCAAAGGCTACTCACCACAGTGAGAAGAGAGTGTGGTCCTCTGACTGCTCACATTAATTAGAAATAGATTGAAATTTATATAATAAAAGAATAGTTAAAAGTGTTATGAAATTTCTCCAGAAGAAATAAAGTCAAAACATTCAGTAAAAATGTATTCAGAAATATGTTGAGTAAACTCATGGCTCAAATCTTCTTTGTGATTGATATAATTATGAAAATATTCCTGAATATGTGATAGAAAAAAGTAATGCTCTTGCAAGTGTGGGACTGAATACTTAAAGCAGTATCATAACTTTGCTAAGTAGAATTTCTTTTACAGATTTTCTGAATAACTTATCCATACTTTCTGAAAATTTCAACATTTTTATAAAAATGTATAATAATAATTAATATACTTTTACACTGACATATTAATTTAAAAATTGTACACTGAAATGCTATTTGAAAATCCAAGGCAACACTCCCCTTCAATATTCCTGAACTTTGATCCCAAGAAAAAATATTTTAAGGCAAAATTATTTTACTCACAAATTTTCTTCGTAGATGATCAAGACACATAAAGATCACATTATCCTAACTTGTAAAACAGCTAGATATAATGACAGAAACAGTAATAAATGGCAAACAACTGGGTTACTAAATTATAAACTGCTGAGATTTTCTCTTTTAGAACAAGTTTGCTATCAGTGAGCTTATTGCTGCACCATTTACTAAGTTGTAGTATTCAGACTAGTTAAATCTAAAGCATTAGAAAGATAGACTGTTTTCTTTTTTGTTTTGGTTTATTTTTGTCACCAGATTCCAAAATGACTATTCAACTAAGTATTGCATTTCTCTTTCTGTTTGTCTTTTCTGTTTGCCTATGACAGCTCCAAGAGCTCTCCCATAATATCTCAGTAGATCAAATATTTTTGAGTTTTGAAAGCATTCAGTTTCAAACTTTAGCATTCTGTAACAAACTTTAGCAAAAATTCAGTCTGTAAACTAAAAGATTGTTTCTTTATAATTTACAAATATATTATCTTAATACAAATGGATCTAATGTGACTTACATTCTGTGAGGTCAATTTACTTAGCATATGTAGTTCTTTCTTTTACCTACATTTAAATTAGATATAGGAAACCACCACATTATTTCTGGTAATAAATGAGGGGGCTGAAGACTATTGGACAAAAACAAATTATGCCCTTCAAAGGAAGATACAGTTGGGATTTTTGTGTAATTGTTTCTGCATTACTGTTCCCAAAGGACCAGCTGAAGAGATTACCTACTTCAGCCAACCTCTAAATGTTTGTTGCCATCCTCTTGCCAAAGAACACTGCCTTGCCAGATCCACTGGTTAAACTATTTGTGCTACCATTTCCTAATTTATATCAAAATGAGTTTGGTTGACAAAGCAGGTAAGCAAAAAAAAAATCTATTATTTTCATGGTTTATCCTGGATCATTTTAATATTCATAACCTAGAAAATAATGTCAGCAGAAGCTCCTACATGAATGCTAATGGGTTTGCAGCTACTGAAAGCAGTATGGGGTTGGTTAACTTCACTATCCTGTCCTTGATTTGTAACTAACTGTTTTTAAGTAAGACTGTCAAACATAACATTAATTCTGGAAAACAATTCTCAAATTGGGCAATCACCATTATCAATAGTTGTAGCCTTCCTGTCCATTTTGTATAAAGTTCATAAAAATAGACTTTGCATTCAGAAGTAGGAACTAGTAGTTTTGTAAATATCCTTCACACAAATGTCACTGTTATTACTTTTTCCTTTAACTTGGTAGCTTCCCTGTCTTTAAAATAAATGCAATTGTAATTAACTTTTGTTAATTGTAAGTAACTTTTCTAATAAATATGTACAGTTGGAAAAGACACAGAAAATCATTTGGATGAGCTGTATAAATAGATGTAAATTAGCTATGCAGATCTCAGCATGAGTGTTCAAAGAAAGTGGACAATTTGAGGAAATATGCATTCTATTTGATATGACTAAAGTTCAGTAAAATGTTTTACAGATTCAGTTTGAAATCAATTTTCTATGATTATTTAAAGACTTTTCTTGCAAAGGTTTGAACTTTCTACACCTTCTACCGATCTTCATTCAGATTAAGTATACAGAGCTTGAAAGGTTCTCAATTGTAGAAACTCTTGTCATAATTTTCAATCCATTTAAATATCTATATATTACACTTATGCAATATGCTTAAGTCACTTATCAGCACAGATTAAATAAGGACAGATCTGTTCTTCGTCAGTTTGTTATGAATTACTCAGGTGAAGAGTAAATTGAAAGCTTTTCAACAATGAGTGGGAAAATTCATAACAACAGATCACAATGGAACAAAAATAATTTCATGACATCATCCCTCTTTTGGCTATGTGCATTTGACTTTACACTTTCTAGACTATTTCATGTGAATCCTCCTGATAAGAATTACTTGGTGATGTTTAGTATATATATCTTACCCATCATTTGAGGCAGAATGACATTTCATTGTTCTATCATAAACACTACTAGGTTAAAGAATCTGTAACTTGATTTGAGTCTAAGTTCAACCAGTTAGTTTAATAATAGTAGGAGAAGATATGTGAGTAAAAGAGTAATAGTAGAAAGTCAAAGCAGAGTCTAATTACCAAACAATATGCAATGTGTACATTCAGGACCATAAGATGGTCCCAAGATATAATGTGGATTTATTTTATACAAAAATTGGAAATCATTAAAAGCATATTGCAAAACACAACAACAAAAAAATAATGAGAATATTATGGTTCTGATGCTTACTTACAGTTTAGAATAATTTCTCCTTCTACACAGGCTTGAGTGGGGTTTCTTTCTCCACATTACGTTTTTATAAGAAAAGGGTTTTTTCTTCATTCATCAATCATGATAGTTATAATTTTATCAGTGCATGAGATTTAGGATACAATTATAAATGCTCTTTTGTATTTAAGAAATTTGGAATTTGTGAAAGTTGGGTGAAAACTGTTAGTGAGAAACACAAAGTAAAAATTCACAGAGTACATAGTGTATTTTAGAACATGAAACGTAGATGAAGTTCACTTACTGAAAATATACATCTCTGTGGACAAGTCTTACTCAAAATGGATGCTAGTTCATGTTCCTGGCCGTAAGTTTTCTATAGTCAGCTACAGATGTGACAGGAATTGCTTTCACATAATTATTTTGTCTTATTTGTATGCATCCCTCATTTGGACAATTTGTGAGGTGTTAAAGGTGCATGCAGATGAACAAGTTACCCTCCGAACTCATTTCCCATTTGTATAGGAACAGTTAAGCCACAGTCTGAACCAGTGATTGAGCTCCTGGTAAAGGGACATAGGGAGCACAGGTGGAAGCAATTCACCTGTGTGACTGAAAGGAGTGGACCACTCCCCAACTTCATTTAAAGGCTGGCAGCAATAAGATTATTTCTTTTTCCATGTTTGGGTGGGCACTAAATCCTCGTAAAAGGGTAAGTACTATTCCTTCTTTCTTTAATGTACCAGGTTGTGACTTTTATCTTTCTTAGGTGATCCAGAACTGTATCTGCTGCCTCCTATCCTTTAAGAATCCTCTGCAGAACTGCCTGCAACATGCTTATGCTGCATTGTACCACACCAAACGCATACAAATGTGTATAGTTATTATAGAGTAGGTAACGAGAACAAAGTTTTTAACACCTACCTTATCTTGTTGATAAGGTATCTTTTAATCTTTCTGTACTCAAGATTTCTTAGACCATATTTAATTTGCTTTACTCTGTTGTAACTTTATAATAAAATCATGGTTTATTGGTTGTAAAGTGAGAAAAAACTTTTCTTATTGCTTATAATAAGGAAAACACTTGACCAAGGTGATCAACTTGTTAGCGCTGTTACAATCCTACAATACATTCTTTGCGAGCTAACAAATGCATGGTTTTTTAGAGATACTCACACAAAGGCTGCTCTGAAAGTAATGTTTTGGTTTTTTACTATGTTGGCTCATAACAGCAGAGGCTGATGGTAGTGATATGGCCCTAGAGGTCGAGCATTCCCACCAATGTTCTGTGACGTTTTGTTGCTGTGTGACAGATGGCAGCAGAGGGATAACCTGATAAAACATTGAATTGCATGTGAAGAAAGGTGTGCCACTGAATTCCTCTATGCAGAATAAATTGCAACTACTGACATTCATACACACTTGCTGAACATTTATGGAGACCGAACAGCAGATATGAGCACAGTGAGGCTGTGGGTGGTGTGTTGCAGCAGCAACAACGACGTGGAAGACAAGTCATATTCCAAACAGTCATATAGATTTTTATGAGTATGGCATGCAGGCTCTTGTGCATCACTAGTGAATATTCATAGCTAATGGTGATGACTAAGTTGAACTGAGGATTTGCTCTGTCAAAAAATGTTGTTGTGCTCTTTGTAGCTATTGTAGTTTCCATAGGAATCTTTAAGTAGGAGGCATTACTTTCAGAATGACCTACATAGATAAGGAGAAAGAATCTTCTGAAATTATAATTTGAGTTTTTTCTACACTACTTTTTTTCCTATTTTACTACTCTTTCCTTTCCCATTGCATCATATTTATGCAACCTATATTGCTACATCTGTGTAATTATAAAATTGTCCTTGTACTAGTTGCCTCAACTTTAGGTTGATACCTCACAGCTAATGCTGAGCATTTGTTTGAGGCTTAGAACTTCTAGAACACAAAGATCTGAGTTCCAGTGATAGGAAGTCTCTATTTTCCTTCAGGACTAAAGCTAAATGCTCAATGGGAGCTGCTATATTGTAAGAATAACTTCTTTTTTATTCCTTGTTTATTCAAAGCTGGGGAAGGCAGGTCTGGGGAAAGAAAAGAATAACGAAAGCCAAATACGTGCTAAGTAAGTTCTTAGATTTAGTAGCACTATACATATACTAGAAGTATGGACATTTTTCAGTCATTGTTTTTAACAAGCAGAACTGAGCTTCGAGTGTTTCTTCTTGTCAGGTTAGTCATCATTAAAGTTTCTGACAAGTTTTGTTATTATTGTTAAATTCTAGCATCAATCCTAAATCATAATACAGATGTATGTATCTGTTGATCAGTCTGAGATGACTACTCTGTATTAAACATCATATTAAAAATAAATGATAATGCATCCATACAATAATGATTTTACTCTGCCTTTCACATCTATTGATATTTTTCTGCAAGAAAACAGATCACCGTTCCACATCCACGGTTCCACTGACATGCAGAAAAATAAACAAAAATGAGTTGGAGAACAGACATGCATAACATACGGCTCAGAGACTTCATGCGGCCTGCAGAGCAATTTCTCTAGCATGCCAGCTATTTAGCAGCAGTGTGTACTGTTATAAAAAAGCAGAGTGTGCATCCTGGCTGGGCTTTTAACCAACCTCTCAGCTGTAAGCAGCTGATGAAAACTGTATCTCTTGGCTGGCCATATGGGTAGGTGGGAGGACATTATTTATAGGAAAAAGGGGAAGGCAAGAGACACTGGACAGTCAGGGGGAGGAAGAGAACTCAGTGCTGGTAAGGGAGGATCATTACAGTAGTAGACGATTGGGTCTCATATTAATATAGCATTCTAATGGCTTTCATATTTATAGGGGATATCCACATTCGAGAATTTCATCATTGCATTTATTCTTGCTTCCACAAATACAATATCTGAATCTAGCCTAGCAAATTCTTGTGGTAAATAAGTGCTTCTGTCTATAGGTTAAAATTTTAGACCTTTTAGGAAAGTCTGTACTATACAAAGTGTGATGTGCCTAAGTTCAGTGTGAGGTTGAATGGCACATAAAATCCCCTACACCCAACACTTGCTAATGTTTTTTCTTATCTGCTTTGGCTCTTTTATCAAATATTACATTTTACCGAATAATTCAATGTTATAATTGTGATACTTCATAAAAATTTAAAACTCTTGGTTTTAAATCCTGCCTAAAACACAGTAGGGTTTCAAAAGTAGATGAACTGTAAAACCAAATACATGTTTCCCAAATGTGATTATCTCAGGGTAGTAAGAGACAAGATTACCATCTAAAGGGCAGTCACCTTGATACAACAGATCATTTCTGCCAAAAGAAAAAAGCCATGGTTTCCTTTGCTCTCATCCTTCTCTCCCTCTTTCTGCCACTTTTAGTGATGGTGAGCAGTTAAACATCATATCATGTTGGAACTAAGGTCAGGAACGTGAATGTACCTGTGAAGATGACTCTCTGAGAGTGCTCCTGAAAGCGTTCTCTGATGGAATTTTCAGGTAGTAGCTTTCTTGCAGATACGTTTCTCTCTTCATGGCCTTGAATGCCACATTTTCAGGAAAAATGTAAAACCATCTGGATGCAGGAAAGAGAGCAAAAGAGAGGGACAGCAAGACACATGTAATTTATTCTTAGTCCAGTCAGAAGAGATATGGCTCTTCTTTCTGTCTCTTCATCCCTTCCATAAACATTTGACTTGCTTTGTCTGTTTTGGTTGCCTGTATTTGCATTTGACCTCCAGGTTAACTGTGATTTAAAGCATTCTACAAGAAGCAGTCATGTCAAATACTTAAACTGGGAGGCTGGAGTACATTAACTTCTCAGCCCATCCATTTCAACTACACAAGGCAGGTGAAGAGCTAGCCCCATCGAGGCTGTCAGAGCAGAGCGTCACAAGATTACACAAAAGAGGTCCCTTGTCTCTTCTGGAAGTTGTTGAGAAGTATACAGTTAGGCCATGAAGGTCACAAGAGACATCACAGTAAGAAGGTACAGTATGCTCATGGTTAAAAAAGAAGAAGAGTAAGCTGCCTCTAGCTTTTTGTTTCTTTCTTCATGTTTATCTACTTAAAAGACCCCTCCCTGACTTACTAAAATAACTAGCATAATATGAAAATATTTCTGGATTAAGTCTAAGACTGGTTATTTTACCAATGAAGTGAATGATTCTGGATGGAGAAACATGGGCAGAACACAGAAAATTGCTGAAACAAATGCAAACTAGCTATTAAAAGGGAAGTATTTTCCCATGGTAAAATAGCAGAAAAATCATAAATCTTCACTGATAATGAAAGTACTGGGCTAATACAAACAGTTTTTAATCATTTGTTCTTATTTTATTTTATAATTCAATGTCACTTTGAAGTTTTTCATAAAGTATTTCACAAGGACAAGAAAAAAATTCTAAAGGTAAAAAATATCTGATTCAGAAAACAGGCCCATGATGCTCTGATTCGCTTAAGAGATGTTGCCTTTTTACCTCATTTGCATATCCCTCATAAATATTCCTGGAAAATATTACTGATTTACATTCAGCTTTTTACTTGTGTGTAAAGGGTGCAGCCTTCAAAAAGGACATGTTTTCTCCAGTATAACAGTATATATTTGTTTATTTCTGCAAAGTGTATGTGCCACTGCAGTTAAATTTGCAACCCGCATTTTTAGGATACACCACTCAGCTTCAAGTCATGATGATGATTTTCATATCCATTTTTTTTTTTTCCCTTCAAGCGAGATGGAAAATATTCCAGCAAAAGCATAAGAAAGCTATTTTAAGATCTTCAAAGAAAAATTAATACGTTGCGGTGGTGATATTTCATCTTAATCTGGCATCGCCCAGGCTTGTCCCCTTTCAAGGAAGGGAGGAAATCTGGGAATGAGTGAAAGCCACAATAAAATGAGATCGTTTTACTGAAATATGATGGCATAGCTGTTTCTTGACAGTTATATATTCAACGAGTAGGAATGAGTGGTATGATAAAGGTGTATGATTTATTGTTATGTGCAATTAAACGTGAGCTGCACAATATTGAATTTTTACAGAGAGCTGAACTGATGTTTTAGAAAAAAATATGAAATAGAACACAACTAGACTTATGGATATTTATAGAATAAGAGAAAAAGTATGCCTCCAAATATCTCAAAAGAATTGCAGTGTAAATTAAGATTTCTCTGGTCTTCTTACATCTAATGCTTAAATTAAGCAAGGAGAGGAAGAGTTGTTAGTATGATATTCAAGTTGCTGTTAGACAACCTAGGATATGAGTTTGAGCTCATTTCCAGTAACTTATACGTTTAATAATATAAGTGTATATTATGTATATACACCCACAGTATAATATGTATAATAATATTAGTATGAAACAATCTACATGTATATATGTAAGCTCATGTGAAATACATTTATCTTTCTGGACACTAACATTCAGAAATACTAAATTTTAACTGAAAAGGAGAAAGGAAAGCCTAGTAAAATGAACAGATTATGGATAAATCTGTCTAAATAGTGATGAAAGATCTTGTTTTGTCTGTTCTAGAAGATTGAAAGAGGGAAGATAATTACTATGTATAGATTCTTCCATTAGATATCAGAAGGAAGAATGAACTTAAGACTTGCTAACAAAGAGCAAGCAGACATATACTAGCTATGGATTAAATCAAACTAGAAACAAAGTTTCTAGCTCTTACTGAACTGAGGTGCTGGACATCTCAGGATGTCATGACTATTATTCCAATATTTTAAAACTCTTACATCTTCCAGAATCACATTCCTGTTTTACTTAAAGGACAACTGCTAGAATATAACACATTTTTTGCAAACATACAGATAACGTCTATTGTGTACACAAAATATTAAAATAAAAGAAATATTAATTAATATTAAAATAAAATTAATTATTAAATTATTAATAAATATTAAAAGAAGTTAATTAATATTAAAATAAAAGAAATAAAAGATAAAATATTCTGCTACTTCATACTATAAAAGTACCATCCCAAATAATAAGCACCACTGAAACACATTTTAGGTTGCATTTCATTGAATCTCTTATTGGAAAGGTGTATGCTACTGTTTTCTCCCTTAGGTCTCTTAATTGGAAAAGTTACAAATTCTTCAGTAAAAATTTTATGGGATTCTCAGTTTTACTTCCATGCAGCAAAAAGGGAAGTGGTGGAAAGAAAGGAAGCCTTAGTTTGAGAGATGGTGTCATGAGATAGTTTCATGAAAGAGAGAAGTGTGTGGCACTGGTGGTATTGCTGTCTTGGTCACTGCCCTGAGAGTCAGAGAAGAGATGTGTACCTACGGGAAAAGAGGTGCAGTGAAAACCATGGAACCCGTGGGTTCTCCTTCCATAACTGTGTACTGTACCACTAGACCAACATGCACTTCTCCTTGTATTAAGCATCAAGAATGAAGATGACCATTAGAGCATAATGTTTCTTCAAATCAGTCAGACAGCTTAGTTCAAGGAGAAAATACTTTTTCATTCTAGACAAGCTTTTAAAAGAAAACCATGAATTTTCAGAAATGTAACCAAACCCAAAATATTTGTCTACAACTGGGAAACAAAAAATTAACTAAATTTGTTTAGAAACTACATTTATTGTAATATGTGTTTTATGTATCAGTTGAACTCTGTTAAATGTTCTTGGCATTATTTTAGTCTTTTTTTAATTGGCAAAGTGCCTCAAAAGTTTTTACTTCACTCTTAAAAGCTCTTAAAAGCCCTTAAAAGATCCACTGTTGGTATGTGCTCATATTCAGGATGCTCACTGCACCTCAGGAAAGAGAATTTGGATGTTATATGAAAGAAAAGAAATATCTCATATTACTGGACCAAATTCAAATTGAATTTTTCTGGTTATCTTGGATGAGCATGAGAGTATACACATAATCTTCTCAATAGAAAATACTCCTCTAGACCTCCGTATTTATACCTTCTTCATTGTTTCTGTACCTGAATAACTATAAACAACTGTGAATTCTTTGGGTTTTCTGCTAGTTCAAATTCTAGTGAATTCTTTCTTGATATGCTGTGCAGTAGAATGCTATGCAAGGCAGTGGGAAATGAAAAAGAGAGTTGTTCCCTACTGAAAAAGACAAGTTATTTTAAGTTACAGGGAAAACATAATTATAGGTAATTACCACAGATTACATTTTCTACATACATGCACTAATTAAATCACCTATAAGATGATTATATTTTTAATAGATTTTTACTGTCTATTTGGCTTTACTGATGATAAATCAAATACATAAAAAATGAAAAAGGACAGCATCTATTAAAATTATCTTCATAAATATTTAAGTTTTGATAAACATTGAAAAAATATTCCTGAAGTATTGAGAGAGAAGAGTAATAGTCTTTATCCATCTCCAGTCAATTGTGAAGCCAACTCAATAAAAACAAAAGTTTTAGTTCCTTATATATTCCATTATTTTGGTCAAGATCAAAAAGCCAATAAAAGCACTTCATATAATACTCAAATCAGTCTAGTTCGGCTGGTAATTGCTATAAAAAGCATGTATGAAAAGGAAAAAATGGAGAAGAAAGCAATAGTTTTTCTGGTTATGTGTGGAATTGCTGTTATCTTATTTAAAAGATGTACAAGCAATAGCAAAAAACAATGTTAAATAAAATATATATCAAACTAAATTAGCAGGGCTGCAGGGAAAGCAGTATTTCTTAAAGAGACTTTCACAGTATGATGCCATGTAAGATAATGGACACGCCCATTATCTTATAAACTTCTCTAGAAAATCCATAGGCACATAATGTCTAAACTAAAATAAATTTAAGTAACAGGAATTCCTTGAGATAAACATCCTCTTATATACCAGCATCCCATCACTGATGCGCATTTTTAATTCTCTCCTTTGACTTGCTTGGTGATCAGTTCAGTGTCTTAAAACAACGGTATGTACTTTTGTAGTCATCTTGGGAAAGAAAAATAATTCTATTAATCTTGCAACTCTTTCTTCTTAAAAGAATGCTTCTTAGGACAAAAAGAAAAAAGAGCCTTCTCCCTAATGACCCTCCAAAACTTCCATAATGTTATACCTTCTTACTGAGTCTGCAAATAAGTTTCACTCTGGCACTTTGTATCTATGTTCCTTTCTTATGTACCAATCATACTAGTCTTTTTTTGGGCTTCAGTTGCTTTTGGATTAAATCCCTAATTTCTCACTTCGAAAAGTAACAGTAATGATTTCTCCTATCTGGCTAATGACAATTTAGCACTGTCACCATGTGAGATATCATATCCTTGTTGTCCTGTTTCTGCCAAAAATTTTATCATAATAAATGCACTAGAATAAGGAGCTTCTTTCTATGTTGGCATACCTAACAGCTGTTTATTTTGATCATGGAAATGATTTTTCAAAGCCTCCAACTTTTTCTCAATATCAATCTGGTTTCAATTAAAATGTTTGTGGAGAAATTTGGTATAATAATAACTGAAAGTTATATTTTGAGTTTTTCAGTCACAACATTCACTGTGGTTAGATCTAAATTCCAAGGTGCTTTGGAGCTACCCGTTGTCGCTTAGAGAAACTGTCAGTAGGAACACATATCACCTCATAGTAGGAACTAAGAAAGATTTGTAGTCACATCCCACAGCAGAGGTTTGGAACTAGATGATCTTTAAGTTTCCTTCCAGTGCAAGCAGTTATGAGATTCTACAATTCCTTTACTGGAATATACTGGATCTAATATTTCTATTTGGAAATTGTCACCTGCCTGGACAGTACCAAGTCCCAGAATTTGGATCCAGGCAACAGTCTGTATTGTGGTATAAATTCTAACACCCAAAAATGATAGTCAACAAGATGTGTACATGTGTTGGATAACAAACAGTATGCACAGTTGATCATGGTTCAGCTTCTTTTTTGTCACAATGCTTCCAGTATAGCTGGACTAGACTGTGGCACCTGCATGTTTGTTCTTGCTAACTACAAGAGAGCAGTGTCCTCCTCTCAGCAGTGCCTTAGACATAAGCCTGGGTCTGGCGTCAAGGTCACGTAGTATCTTCAGTAGCTTTCTTTGTCCAGAGTCAGTAATGGAGAAGGAACACAGTGAAGTTACTCAACCTACTATAGTGACAGAAAAGCCAAAAAACAAAAAACAAAAACAACAACAACAAAAAAATCAAAACAAACAAACAAAAAACCCTGACAATAAACAGCAAAACTCCTTTCAGCTCTACATCTAACATCTCAACCATTTCTACTTCCAGAGCATTTTAAACCTATTATCACCTCTCTCACTTTGCATTTCAGCTCCATGCATTCCTGTTTCATCCTTGGTACAGACCCCAAAAATTTAAACGTTATTTTACACACAGTTGGGACTACTTCAGGGGCAGCCTAGTCCTGGAACATTATTATTTAACACTGTTAAATTTGTTTCTCCACATTTCTTCCATGAGGACTTTGGGGGGAGGGGGAAATATCTCTCACTAGCAAACATAATTAATTTTGTTTGTTTTTAAAATAATCAGCTAATTAGTGGTGTGACATAGTTCATTTATGACTTTAAAAATATTTACGATTCTTTATGGTTTGATTTTATGCTTTGGAGGAAAATTACTGTGTTCGGAATATAGAACATTGCCAATTTTCTTGAAAATGGTTTGGACTACTTGTCTAAACTTGCCATAGTAGCTGGCAGTCCATGATCCAGACCATTTCTTCACGTGGGAGGAGTCAGAGATTTATTCCAGCTGTTTTCTTTTTCTAGGTATACTGAATAGTCTGCAATGCATTATAGTAACCTGTGTCTTCTGGGAATTCTCTGTCTCCATGAACCACTGCAGCAATAAGTGGAACAGAAACCAAATTTTTGCCTTGAAAAATCAAATTCCCTAAATAAAGTCATGAAGATGCAGGTGTTTTGTGAATTATGTCTAATATTAATAACAGCTATCAACAAAATAATATCTTCCCATGCCTTCTATTCACCAAAATAATAGCAACATAAAAATATGTATCATAAAATACATGGCCTCCAACAGTTTTCCTTTACAGCTACATTAAATGTACTTAATCCAGTGTGGATGGCAACATAAAGCAACTTCTATTCATATCCCCACGATTCAGCTTCACTTCAATGAAATGAATACTGCTTTCAAAGAAAATTGGAAACCAAATCAAAACCAAAAACACCCTACTGTCATTATAATACCTGCAGAGTGATACCACTAACGGACCTGACTGTTTGTTTCTAAGGAAGAACAGCTGTGCAACAGACTGTCTGAACAGTCCCTATTACAGAATGCAACATGGAACACTGACACAAAGGAAGCACTACACCAGCTGGCTTTCTGTCTTAGAGCATTTCTATTCCTAGATGATTTACCTGTTCTCAGTCCTGTCACCTTAGCACTTCTTCTAGCCAATTAAAAAATGATGTTGCTGGATTCTTTCTGCTGTAAATTAGATATGTTATTTATCAGATCAAACTGCTATGTTTTTTTAAACTTTGCAATATATGACTTATTTTTAAACTTAGCTGCTTGATTATTTATTTGTGGTATATTTTGTTCTCTTGTAGAGTTTAGATCAGAAAAATTCTTTCCTAATGTATTCACATGCAGTGATCTACATTTCCTAATCATAATCATGCCAGCAAAAGTGGAGCTGCTCTTAGGATAACATTTTAGTCTAGAAAATGATTTCCTTTAAAATGGATTCAATGGACATGATGATATAGAAGATGCAAAATTGCACACAACAGTTTGCATAATCAAAACAGATATGTTTTGTATTCAGGGAAGATTTCTTTTTGCTACATTAAATGGTAGAAAATAAACCTTTTGGAATTCTGCAAGTATGCAGTGGATGTAAAGGCAATAGCTGTGGAATTCCAGTAGGATTATGAGGAGGATGTACAGAAACAAAAATAAATAAATAAATAAATAAAGAGTCAAGATAAATAGGAATAATATCAAAGGATAAATGGATTTTTAAAAACTAACAATAGTCTATTTATTTCAAACTGGAACCGTGCTTCATTTTCTGCTTTATAACTAAAGATAAATTTATGAAAGTTTAAAATATAGACATACTTTGTGCAAGAAATTTACAGGTCTTTTAGATAATTGTGAGTTCAAATGAGATATAATGAATGTGGAGCAATGTGGAACTTTATTCAGTAAATAATGCCAAAGGTATAATCTTACCTAAGTTCAGAACACAACTTGCGCATATTATGAAATAATTTTTGAAGTGCTCTGCAGGTGTTTCCTAGACACTACTGCTCCAGAGAAGATAGACTTCAAAATTAGCATTTCTCTTCCTTAATGAACAATAAACTTGATTCAACACATCAAAATAATATATTACAAATGGCTACACAAAGTACTGTTTATTTTCAAGGACTGTGTGAGGATAACATTGTGACAATATTGTGAAGGGTACTGAATAAAAACCAAACCCCTCTGTTTTTATTGCTGTGAATGAATCAGTGTTAAAGCTGGTCATAAACACTGTTTCCGTCTCATTGAATTTTAAAATATTTCAGTTATTTTTCTTGTTCTGCCTTAGAAACAAATCAGAGCCTTCACAAAGGGTCTAGGAAGAGTAAGAAAAAAGAGTAGATGGTAGGCTGAAGATTAGACAAACCAAGTGTTAAAAAGAGGACATAGGTTCAAATTCTTTTTCTATCAGTCTTCCATTGCTCAAATAGCCTAGACTCAATTGAAGCATATCTGAAAATGAAGGGATATTAGGTTTTCATTGAAAACAGTAAGTAACAAAGAAGACAACAAAGAGAGGAGAAAATGAATTCTAAAACTTTACAAACTTTGCCCTTCTGTCTCTGGATTTCTTAGAAGCAAAATTCCTGACTACTGCATGCATTTTTCTATACTGCCTTCACCATTACAATTAAAAAACAAACAAACAAACAAACAAACAAAAAAAACCACCTATTTTCTTTGGGAAAAGGTGACATCAAGTTTTACTCTAAAGTAAAAATAAATGGGACAGCAGAGGAGATTTTGACTTAGTAGGAATTTCTCCTGTTAAATGACATTTTTTGTATATGTGGAAATTATTTCTGCCAGTACAGTTGCAAGTCAATTTTCAAGCCCTGATTTAGTAATGAGAAGTAGCACATTGTCTAGAAGTAAATGTTTTATATATATCTATCATCTATATACAAATGCCCTCGCTCCTGAGGAAGACTTGTCGTTTAGAAGATAATCACAAAGACTCAAAAATGCTGTATTAGAAGAGCCTCCTTACTAAGGCATGAAAACAGTTGTACCTATGATCCTGTAGCTCAGAAATGAGAGGTTTCAAAATATTTTAAATGCACACAAGTTTGGTATTAGAAACCACTAACTAAAAGCAATTTACTTGTTATTCATTGATCAGTAGATACAAGCTTATTTTTATTTCTTACAAATATCAGCGATTAAGAATTTATCCAGGATATTTGACCTCCACTGCAATGATTACTGGCCACTTCATGGTTTTTACTGCATTTAACTTCATAGTGCCTTTGTGAGATAAAAAAAACAAAAACATTTTTTCATACAAATGAAGAGCTGGCAGATTTTAAGACAAATGATTAAATTTCTAAATATATATTTAAATGTTTGAATCCTGCTATATTCAAAGAATTAAAATGTATCATTTGAGTATGTATGTCATGCAAGATCATAGAATCATAGAATGGCTCAGGCTGGAAAGGAATTTAAAGATCATCCAGTTCCAACTCCCCTTCTGAATTGGCTAGCAGAAAAAGTACACATGGATTGCAGTCATTGGAAAGGGAAATTATATGAGAGAAGTTTTATGCCACTTTAATGACCACTACAAATTAACAAGAAGAATCTTCAGTCACTCTCATGTGCTTCTGCTTTACGTAAATTCAAGAGTCATATTATCAGGAAGACTACTGAGTCACAGAGATGGAAGGTACATTTCTTCTCATCAGAAGTCAAAATAGGAATTGCCTCGCAGGATGTACAAGATTTATTCCTGTGTAATCTTCCCTTCTGATTTCTGAAAGCCATGTGTCTAGTCACCTCAAAGCTTGAATTGGACTCTACGTTGCTCCCTTTTGCAGTGGAAATTAATTTCTTAATTATGAAAATTTTGTGCAATTTTAAAATCCTCTCCCTCAAGATTTTCACTTCTGGACAATCGTTAACACAGACACGTAAAATTAGAACATTTTTTTCAGTCCTGCTTTAATGGCTGGGCATTTGCAAAATTAAAAATATCATTACAATAGATAATGATTGCTTGTAGTCTCAACAGAGATTTTTATTGGGGAAAAGTACCTCTTACCCTTGCATTAATAGATCTTGCTTCTAGCATGTGACAATGACAGGGTAACAAAATCAGACACATAATACAACCATTCTGTGAATAAACAGAGGGCTTCAGTTTTCAGGGCTCATATTCCTGTACTGACAGTCTGATGCCTTTGGCACTAAATTAACTCTAAGAAAACTTGAAACAAAAGTAAGGAACACAATGCTTTTGGCAACCACGTTTACTGCATAGTGAAGAAATTATTTCCTTCTAAGAAAACAAATACAAAAACAGCAAAGAATTTCTGTTTCATTACAGTAGCACACTGTGGTGACCGATGGGTTATTAAGGAGCTAATAAGAAGACAGACTTGCAGACTGCAGCATGTCCTATTTCCATCTATTTTGATGTTTTTCTGCTGTGCTGATGGGAATCTGCAATCATAAAGCATTGAAAATTCAGCTGAGTGTACCTGAGTACAGTTTCTACTGTTTTCTGAATATTTAGCCTTACTTCTTAGACAGTAACCTCTTGCTTTTTGTTATGAAGATAGTTACTGAAGTGTACACTAACACTTTCTATCTTAATATCTCCAACCAAATGTATGGGAGTAAATAGTTTTATGCCAGAAATAATTATCTTTTGTTGTTATTACTAGTGCCTAATGACTCTAGCTAATGGACTACTAATAAAAGAGACACAGTCTCTTCCTTAATTATTTCCAAATTTCAAGTACATGTAGGAAATCAAAGAAAGTGAAGACAATTCTTACTCAAGGACAGGATTACCACAGAACTCCTGAGAAGAATTTACATATTGAAACTTTCATTTATTTTAACCTGTTTTTACTACAGAACTCAGGACCAATGCAAATGCATAGCAGCCACAGTTTTAAAAGCTAATGTGTTAGATTAATAATTACTTGGAAGTGCAGTGGGCTCAAAGTTTCTGATGGCTCAGTGTAGCCAGATATTCCCCACTTAGTTACACAAACACAATAGATACCAATAGACTCTAATAGCTGCCTATATAGCTGTTGTCAGATGGCAGTGAGGTGGTAACAACAAAGCCAAATCCATGCTATTTTAATTATTCCTTTTCTGCCAATTAAAATATTGTCTTAAATATACAGAAAAATATTTCTAGATTTTTTTCTTCTTGCCCTGGGATAGACAGGCTGCAAGAATTATTTAGTCTATACACAAACTCAAAATGCCTAAGGTAAGCATACGATAGTGTTCCTGACTTGACCTCATGGTTGTTGCACATTTTTCGAGTTTTTCAGTTTTTCAGTTTGAAAAGTTTTCACAGTCACTAAGAGCTAACATAGATTTCCTTTTTGTTTAGGTATTTATATAAACATATGCAGACATAATGGATAGATAGATATCTATTATGATTGAGTAGCCAAAAATAATCAAATTCAGAAATTTAATATAGTTTGAATGAACTCCTGCTTTTATTTTCAAAAGTATTCACACATTTGAAATAATCTACCAAACATCAGAATCTTTTACTAAAGTTAGATCAATTAAAAAATGAAGTGCAAAATATATGGTAATTTTGAAATTACAGACACTAAATCTGTGTTAGTGGATTAGTGTTTTTGTTTGTTTTGTTTTTTAGTTTTTAATATTTATACCATAATTTTTGCATCTTAAAACATATTATTTTACAGTAACAGCCTTCACAGGTTGCTTAAATAAGTAGCAGAAAATATCACCATTTTACTGCATATTTTTCAAAAACATTGCCTTTTGCCTTTCCTTATAACATATAATGTAATAGCAGAGAGATTACTCATGGTCTGCCTTTAAATTTTTCAGTGATTGATTTCTGAAATTTAGTCTGCCTTTTTCCAGTGGTTCACTCAAATGAACCAAAGTGTTTCTGTGTATAAAATGTGGGAAAATTAATTCTAGATCATTGTGAATTCCATACCTTCCATTTAGCAGGAACTGTTTTCCCACTTCAATTTTGAAAATATTCTATTTGTTCTTTATATAAATATGCAGAACTTGGGCACTGAAACAACCGCAGCTTCCTTTCTAAATGTTGGTTTTCCTTGCTATTTGAAAGTTCAAACATACTTGAACTCAAGTTAAATTACCGGTAATCAAAACCACCCAAACCAAAATCATTCATATATTGCCTTCTAATATATACTATTACAGCTTCATTAGAGGAAACCAAATAATATTTGTCTAATTAGATTTGCTGAACACAGATCTGACGTAATTCTTTCTCTATAGAATTTACTCATTTTGGAAGGATCTATAAGAACGGACATAAATGAGTGTTTTTTTTTAATTTAAGTACCAAAGAGGAATGGAATTAGAGGATAGTACAGGATATTACTGCATTTCAGTGATGTCAAATACTGAGATTTTGTTGAAATTTACTGGAAAACTATTACTATTTGGTTATACAGAATCTGTAGCTTTATTTGCATTAGGGTAGTGCATATAACATTTAAGAGGTACTAGGCTGAGAACCAAAACTGTAAAAGAATTTTCTGTAAACAGAGCATATAATTGATAGGAACAGCTCAAATTAATACCAGAATTCCCTTATGTAAAATTAGACTTATTTCTTGTGAAATGTTTCACTTAATATGAATATGAGATAAATTAAAGTATGAGAGAACACATTTCTGTGTTCTCCTTGTGTCCTTGAATATGGAATCTGTGGCTGAAAATGATTTTTAAAATAATTAAAAATAATTTTATTTAAAAAATGCAAGTACAACTTTGGAACATGCATTTTCATGCTCAAAATGTTAACTTCAGATTTCATCTATTAATCCTGTATTGGCATGTCTCATACCGGGGATAGTTTATACTGTCTGGCTAACTCAAGCCAGTAGGTATGTATGAATACGCACAGCATTCTGAACTGAGAAGATTGCTGGACAATAGTGGATGAGACATAAGCCACAGTTTAGCCTTACTGACTTGAGTGGGAGCTGTATTTGACAGGACCATAGGTTTTTGGGTTGAAAATGACTTGTACTTCAAAGGGCAAAAAAAGAGCGTTAGAATATTCTTTCTGCCAGCAAAAATGCACTTAGACATGTAATTAGACAATTATTATTTATGTTGAAATTTTTACACACTTATATACCAAGTAAATGGAAACTGTTTTTTTACTCCCAGGTTATATATAAGGGCTCCAAAAGTAATGCCTCCTACTCTATTATGTTGGCCCACAAAGTCAGAGGCAAATGCTGGGTGTATGGTAATAGAGATTGAATCTTCCCACCAATATTCTGTTAGAGGGGCAGTCTGACAAAATGACTGCTGACAAAAAGGTATGTAATTGAATTTCTCCATAAGGAATAATTTACATTTGCCCATCGTTTATGGAGAACCAACAGTAGATGTTAGGAAAGTGGGGTTGTACATTTCAGCAGTGGTGACAGCAAAATGAAAGACAATTCATGTTCTGGACAGCCATGAACTGCTGTCACATCATGAAATGAAGACCATCTCGATCAGTTAATCCACTTAAATTGGGGATTACAATCAGAGAAGTGTGTACAGAGATGAATATTGGCTTTGATGAATAGGAAACTATGGTGGCACCTTTGGAATACTGCAAAGTTTCCATCACATGGGTCCAACAAATACACACGAATAGCTTATGCAAGTTTGTCAGGATATATTGAACCAATATGAGGCTGAAGGTGACAGTTTCCTGGATCACCAGTAATGAGCCACGGTGTCACCACTACCAGCCAGAATCAAAACAGCAGTCCATGGAGTGGTCACATGAATTCCCCATCAAACAAAATGTTCAGGATGCAGCCCTCATAAAGTAATTTTTGGGACAGGAAAGGGATGAACCTTCTGGATTTCCTGGAACCTGGACAAATACTCAAGACTGGTGAAAATACTTTGCTAATGGTGGTAACTATGTTGAAAAATAGTGCTTTGTAGCTCGAAATTTGCTCTATCAGAGCCTTTTTGTTCTCTTTGCTTCTGTTGTATTTTCTGTGGAAACAAATAGGAGCAACCTACACATACAACCCAATCTTTCCGCTACATGAGGGCAAGATATTTAAGTGAACTACACCACACTGCATCCAGCTTTGCACAACTTCTCTCTTACATGAATAATTCTACTATATCCTCATTCTTGGACTTTGAACCTTACAGCTTCTGAGCTGTGTGCTGACCAGCACCAGTAGTGGAGGTAGACAAACACTGACCTTCCTCTCTGGACAAAACAGTAGACAACTGTGCTATTTTTTACCTCATAAACACATCCACTGCAGTGTAATCTACATTCACTGAGTTCTTATTAATTAAATGTCTTGATGATGTAAAGTCTTATAAAAGCTACTGCTGTGAAGTTTGTATGCGACATCTTTCACTTATTGCAACATGCAAGATAAAAGTAATGAACAAGAAAAAAGTACTAATAGAATTAATTGACAAAACTATGATGCTTTTGATGAATGCTAGAAAGCAGAAATGGTTAAATGCAGAGTTCTGTCTGGGAGGCAAGCATATCCAATCCATTCTGGAGAAATTAGCTGGGGTCAAACACAATAAATCCTTCCAGTACCTAAAGGGAGTCTACAAATAGGAGAGGAATCAACTCTTTACAAGGGTAGATAATGGCAGGACAAGGGGAAATGATTTTAAGTTGGAGGGAAGATTTAGGTTGGATGTCAGGGGGAAGTTCTTTACGGAGAGAGCCATGAAATGCTGGAACAGGCTGCCCAGAGAGGTTGTGGATGCCCCATCTCTGGAGGTGTTCAAGGCCAGGTTGGATAGGGCCCTGGGCAGCCTGGTCTAGTATTAGATTAGAGCTTGGTGGCCATGCCTGCAACAGGGCGCTTGGAGCTTGATGATTCTTGAGGTCCCTTCCAACCCAAGCCATTCTATTATTTTATGATTACAGAAAGGAACATCTTGAGTAGCTGAAGAGAATCCCTGAAACAAAAAATACACAAAGAGCGTGGACTACAGGAAACCTGTGCTGGTAAAAGTGGAAGAGTGCAAGAAATGCTGGGTGTTGCAAGGAACCCAAACTGCAGCTTTTAAATGTCTGTCATGAAAAATTTATAGACAAGTTCACAAAGTTAATAGGAAGAATAATATGGCTTGCAGCACGTACTCTTGGAATGGACTTAAGGATATGATTGTGCTTTTCTAGTTTTGCTAATGAATTTATACCACCACAAACACCTGGTAGCATCTCTGTTTCCCTATTTGTAATAGAGGAATAAGAGCTCAGCCTTCTTGCAAGCATTCCTAATAAAATATACCAGAAGCAAATTTCTATTAATGCTGCTACTAATGTATCTAGGTAAGTTCTCTAGAATGTATGAGAACATCTCATAAATATCATCTTTGGTATCAGTAAAATCGTAGCAGCATAGGACCTGAAATGTTTCTTGTCAAGAAATGAAAATCAATAATGAAAATGAAACTTGGCTAAGTTTCATTTTTAAAACAGGGAGAAAGTACAGTTCAGTAACATGACTGGATCTGCAAAATGGATTGCCAGTAACATTCTCTCCAGGAACATACTCTTGTCACTGTCCCTATTGGCTTGCACGCTTGTCTAAACACTTTCTGAGGCAATTAAAATTGCTAACCCAGCAGAAAACTAATCTAGGGTGGGAAGGAAGGGGGAGGAAATAAGGGGAACAGGACCATCCTTTTCATTTCAGCGGTAACAAGCTGTTAGATTGGCTCAACTGCATCCACACTGGTTTTTGTGCTTGGCAAGGTATTTAGATTCCTTTTCATCAAAGCAATTAAAAATATGCCTAAGCTGAAATACATGAGCAATATCACCCATATTCAGTAGATCATTTACCTTTACACCTATGTCTTTACGTACCTTTCCACTTACATAGTGTTTTGGTAACTAGACTGGGATTGTTCACATGATTGAAATTAAGCACATCCTTACGGGCAGTGTTGAATTAGAATTAGTGGAGTTTGGAACCCCATTCCATGGCGCTATACATGGAGTTGCTCAGTCTTTGCTCATTTATAGTCAATTCATCTGCATGCTAGCTTTTAATTACACAAAAGTTCACTGTAAAAACTCGTCCACATACAGCATTTAAAGAGTACGATGCATACCCCTTTTGGCTGGCACGCATTTGGAGTTTAACATAAAAACTTATTTTAATATCCATGTAGTTACAGGAGTTTTATTCCCTTTTAACATGTTAAAAAGCCATACTAGTGAAAATTAAATGAATATAAAATTTTGCAGGAAATCACTCGATTTTGTAACTGAAAAATTTTTCAGCATAAAAAGCCTGGATCTTCAAAATGATTAAGACTTTCCCTGTTTATTTTGTAGATGGGTTTTCAGCGGTAGAAAAACGTAATTATAGGAAAAGCTGTAAAATGTGAGCTGGTTGAGGCATAAAGTGCAGCACTTAGAATAAGACAATTGCCTAAATTCCCTGATTGACAGATGGATGTCACATTAGATGAAAATGATAACAGATTTAGTGGACTGAAGAATAACTTCCTCTTGACAGTGCCCTGACCCTTAACCTACAACCTGACTCCTGTTAGCTTCACTAACACAGGGTAATTGTCACAGGTGCAGGATAAAAGAAACCCCTACAGCAGCTACCAGTGGTCAGAGGCTTATTTCTTTTGATGACCCAAAATGCACCGTTGAGATATGGCCAAGAAGTCCTGACCTCTGTTGACCTTCCAGGGCATTAAAATTTGCCCCTGGGAAAAGGAAACTATATAAAAGGAATGTACTCTGTTCTAACTAATGCAGAGTAATATTTTAACTGTGTAATAATTAAGTTGATAAACAAAGCAGAGTGATGGTAAAGTAATTATTTTCATCAGCACAAAAGAGTGTTTCTTACACAGTTGTAACATGGTTTCAATAAAGACCACTACTGTACACTCAGTAGAGTTCACGGGTTTTGTAATTACAAGTAAATTCTTTACCATGTCATATTCTGGATATGTGTACTTTTACAAAATGATTCTGTTTTATTTATATGCTAATAGTATCCTTTCAATAGAAGCCAGCTCTTTGAATTGTATTTAAATTTTAGGAAGGTAAAGGATTGTAACAGTATTTATAAAAGACGTGGTGACAACTGTGAGACTTCACAAAAGTTTATACCTCCTTCTGTTAGAAAATAGAGTGTATTTTATTCTTTTTTTTCTTCAGCAATGTGAATGGGGAATTCAGAAAACACAGAGCAGCACAATGAGCTATGCAAATATATTTTATAATAGAAGAAAGAATATTACAGAAGAAAACAAAATGACTGTGTCTCACATTCGAGTGAAGTCAATCCAGTTAACCTGCCCATGTTGTTTTCCTTTATGCATAGAAGAATGAATACTACATGGGGGGAAAAAGGAGAAAAGAGACTTCTCATTAAAGAGAAGTCAATGCAGTAAGGAAAACTGCCTGTGTTTTCAAAATGTTTCACCTGGAAAAAATGAAACAAAACAAACAAACAAGAAAAAAAATCCTCAATCAACTTCTTAAACATCTGACAATGTCTCAGTGTATTCAATTATTGTGTTTATTTGTGCTTAATACCAAGACCATCCAAATATTTATTCACTAAATATGAAGGAATAAAAACAATGTTCTAAATACAATAGACTTACTGGGATCAAGTTTCTGTTCAGAACAGTAGAGCTCTAAAAGATCACTGTGCAAGAGGCACAAATTACTCTAAAATTCCTTGAAGGTTCTTATTAAGGTCATAGGTCTTGCCCTGTGGTTATTATTTATCCACGAAATGCTCTGATAAGTAATATGACACTAAATTAGTGTACACAAGACTTAGGATAATTGCCTGAAAAAAATAAAAATATTAAGTTACACATAAAGGGGTACTATATTGGTAGGAAACTTCAGCCTATTGCAAAAGATGTAGAAGAATGTGACTCTTTTTATTCTGACACACATTATAAAATGATAAAAAATAAGGACAATTCTGTTGTAACTTATCATGAACACTTGCAATAATTATGCCTTCCTCCTGACTACCATCTTTTCAAATGTGATGAGATCATCAGGTAACAGTGTAAGATATGAAGGCTTAGCACACTGTGTTGTTAGCACATTAAAAAAAAGAAATTGCTGGGATAATTAACAACTACCTATTTGTCTGTAGGCTACATTCATTATGCCTACACAAATTGGAGGTCTCCAAAATCTGTGCAGTAAAATTTACTCTTTGTTCAGGAAGTTCCCCTTGGATTTGGGTAAAATTCTGGTTTGCTGTGTCTATTGTAATTGTGACAGGCAGTTGACATGTCTCATAGTCTAAATGTAGTGGCAAGCAGGGGGTGGTACAATGATGAAAAAAACTGCCATTCATTCTTGTGCAAAGGAAAGGTGTTTCTTAGCATATTCCAACCTATGTTCAGTCTAGAGTTGGGTCTCTGAGGTTGAAGGTCAAATCTGTGAGGTCAAAGCTATTTCTTGTCAATCTTCGTTCACTAATGACACATGAATTGGAAATTAGAACAAAGTAAGTAAAACGAATAGCCAGAAGGTGAGTGTCTGTTTTATTACTCAGAAGAGCTGGGAAATCTGGCCAATTGTTGCCCTATGTGGCTTGAATGACAGTTGTTAAGTTGAAAAAGGGACAGTGTGATGGGAATGCCACTTTAAATCTCAATTACCTCCTCCACTCCAATCAGCTTGGTAGAGCTTTAATGAAGTGCAATTCTCTGTCCTTTTCCTCATACTTCTATCTCCAGAATAAGCCTCACATTCAAGTTTGACAGCAGTACAATCAGTTTTCCATTCATCACTGGCCCTGTTTTAACCCTGCTGAAAAAGGGCCTAATGTACGTGGCAGTGATGGCAATTAGGCAGAAAAGTAATATTAGAAACAGACAAAAGCTCGAGTCTTTTAGCATTACAGGTGTTGGGTTTTTTTGGTTTTTTTTTTTTTTATAGCCCTTTATAGACATAAAGGAATAGGCAGTGTTGTTAAGTTCCCTTCTTCAGTCTTCTCTTAAGCTGAAAGTCCAACGATTTCAAGATTCAATTAATTAGAGACACAGAAAGCCAGAGAACAAGGTAAAAGCTACGTTCCGTCTAACTGAAGACACACTTAGTAATTGGCCTCTTATTAAAATGGATATCTTCTGGGAGTACGTTTAATAAGGTTGATAAAAGTCGTCATTTCCTCATTAGGACAGTGGATGAATATAATCTGAGTGATTCTGTTTACAAAGGGAGAGAGAATGGGAAAATAGCACTCCCTTAGAATGTAGGAATGTTAAATATTAAAACGAGAAAGCCTGGGTCTGTAACTCTGGGGGAGAAAGAAAGAAAGAAAGTTATTGTGTGTATGCGTATGCAAACACAAGAAAAACACAGAGAAAGGAGTTTACCGGGGGCTTCACTTTTTCATTTCATCTGAACAGGCAAAATGCAGAAAGCTTTTGAACTCCAGAACAGGAACTGCCACTGGCTTGTTAGCATGTCTTCTTTTTGCAACAACAGGGTAGAGGAAGTGGAATACAAGACTTATCTTTTAAAAGGTAGCTTACACCTACCCTTTATCTTTTTTTACATCATACGAGATCATACTTCTGTATGCAAGCTGAAAAACACATACTCTGCAATAGAGTTCCAGTGTTTTTGTTGTAGTTGTTGTTTTTTTGTTTTGTTTGTTTGTTTTATGGGAGAGGAATGGTTTTTCGTTGGCTTAAATGCTTCCCTAACAGTTCTTTTTATGCGTAGTTTTTTAAAAATGTCAGGAAAGGTCGGGGTGGGTTTTTTGTTTTGCTTTGTTTGATAGATTCCACAGGAACATGTGGCACTGGTGCAAGGATCTTTAAGAGAACAGGCATTTGGAAGTTGAAAAAAAAAAAAAAAAAAAAAAAAGATGACAGAGAGAGAGAGAGAGGAAAAAACAACAACAACAACAACAACCACGCAGCAATTAGGCGGCTCTTGCTGCTCATTGGGGATGTGACACAAGTGGGTGATAGTGGCTTTCACCTCTCGCACTCCCCTCTCTCCTGCCTGATTCCTAGAACAATCCCTGTCAGAAACACTCTTTGAAAAAGGCTGCATTAGACAATGGCTCTTCACCCTTATTTTATGCTTTAAGTAGTGGAGCAGAATGCTGTAAGGGGTTGAAAACAAGGCGTAATCTGAGAAAGACGCGCAGGCATTGTTATAACTGTGAAAACCAGAAGAACCCCTTTCAGAGCCATGACTGAAAGTGCTATGAAGACCTTTAGTCCTTTGCACTCTCCCAATCACCAATTAGACAAACAT